AAACAGAAAAAAAAAACAGAAAAATCTCCATGCTGTGTGTGCATAAATTAGTATATACCAAGATCTTAGAAGTACCAAAAGCGTATATTATTTAAATTTATTTTTTAAATAAAATACTTTATGTAAACCAATCCACAATTAGAATAAATATTTTCTACGAGTACGACCGCCCGTTTTTTCGTCACAAACCACCATACATTCCGAATTCAGTGTATGCGGCAGTTTGCAACGATCGACACTAGCATCGTATCGATCAATCTAGTTAACATTAAAAATGTGAACGTACTAACATTGGATACAGGGCAATATTGCCGTAACGCGTTCGCAAACTCTGCTAACATAAGTCAAGTATGGAGCGCATGGAGTATGGTAACATAAATACATGCTACCGTTCGTTGGAGCGGGTGCTGCAGGGGTTGCTTTGCTAACAAGCATAAGTTCATGTTAACCGTTGCTCCAGGCGCTGGGAGCCATAATTTCGAGCTTACAGTGACCATCGAGAAGCCGCTAACTTACATAAGTACCCGACCAATTTCAACTTGGATGATTTAAGGATCCGTTCTGGGAGCCAAATTTTTGGATCGTTGTTGTCTCGTTACTCACTGCTCGTATATGAATATTATAAGAAATTACAGCTGTGTCGTGGAAAGATAATCGATGTTTGAGAGGAGACAGTCGTAAAATTTATATACCTTCAACTACAGGCCTCGTGAAGACAATACGAACTTTTTATAGCTCCTGAGAGGATCACCAAAACAATGAACGGCTGGTACTTGTAAATTTTTTGTAAGTTATAGCCAGTAAAGATTTTTCGTAATTTACCCATAAATTATATTTTCTGAAGAACAAAAAGTTTATTATCACGTAAAAACCTACAAATTACACATATCAATTTCGTACAGTTGAAGGGGTGAGAAAGGTATACTTACGTAATTTGTGTGCAGGGGTAATCCATCCGATATTTATTGTCAATAATCGCTGATGATACATTTTATTAGTACTGTTTTTTTTTTTTTTTTTTTTTTTTTTTTTTTTTTTTTTTTTTTTTTTTTTTTTTTNTAAAATTATAGCTAAATGAAATGAGCATATTTTTTCATTATTAATAGATCCTGATTTTTTTTTTTTTTTTTTTTTCACCAAATAGGTATACAATCGTCGCAAAAATAATTGAAAATAGTCATCACTATTTTTAGTCACAAATATATGTATAATCAAGCGTTACTCGCTCAGTTATAGTTATTATTATTGTTTTTCGCAAAGATAAAAAGGGCAGCGTCTGCAAAATTATTTTCTGTAACGTTCTTCATTTCAAGAAAAAAAAAAAAAAAAAAAATCATCCCAAGTCCATGCACACGTAACTGCGAATTAAATTTCACATCATTAGTCGTCCTGTTGCAATAAAGAAAGGACGGCCACCGCGGCGCGACCTAAACGCAATATAACGAGCTCAACGACGAGACATCGTCCAGACAATAAAAGCAACAAAACCTGCACCTACATGTATATAAAGGAGGCAAACAAAGGAGGAGATGGATAGAGATGAGAGAGGGAAGGCCGACGACACTTTTATCGGGGACTTAACGCCGCGGCCTCGTTAAAAGAGACGAAAATGGCAGGCGCCCTTCTCTCCCGCCCCTGTATATATTACATAATGTACCCTTTCCTCGCCGTGCTGAATTGTATATATATGTATACTCGAGAGCACGGAACGTCATACTTTCGGCGCAAAAAGGGTGGAGATGCACACTTGGGGCGAGGCAGGGCTTGATTAACACACCTTGCAGATATTACGCAATAAAGCCGGGACGCGTTTGCAACCTCGGGGCGCCGCGTATATATTTATACCGCATACATTATTAAATTGGATTTTCTACCGGGGAACGGTAAATGTGACGCTTGCGTTGACGGTGCAACTTGGGGATTGATGAGCTTTTATTTTTTACTTTACAAAATTATTATTAGGTATCGGGACTAAAAGTATAATACGTGAGCGAATAAATGAGGTGTATATATGTATTAATGTGCCTTTTTTTGGGAGCTTCGAGTACTCGACAAGAAAAAAAAGAAAAGGTATAAACAGGGAAAAGTCATCGGGACTGTTTTCGTCGCGTTATCGGCAATCGAAGGCATATGATTCATGCCAGACGCCGTGCATGCATATGTACCTACATTTGTTGACGTTGACGGTGAAAAGAGGAAGGGAAAAAAAAAATGTTTCCCTCCGGGATTGGAGGAGCGCCAAAAGTTTACGAGGGAAAGAGCCCGGGGTTGCGGGCTAATACGTATATACCTACTGCGGAAGCGACGAGGCGCAACAAATGCGAGCAGCAGCCCGGCTGTGTGTGTCTATGCTTACCTATACCCTATGTATGCGTGTGTATACCTACGTCGGGCCAAACAAAAGGGGAAGGCTGTTTTGTAGTTAAGTGATGCCTGTCTGTGCCTCATGCTTGCGAAAAAGAAAAAAAAAAGAAGTAATTTGCGCAACGGGGGAAATTTTGAAATTTAGCCGGAAAGAGGTCATAGATTTCGGTCCGGGCCGGTGGAGAGTTTAATTAGAGGGGGGTTTTCGATGATTTTCATCCCCCTTTTTCTTCTTTTTTTTTGCAGGTTTGAGGAGCGGTTTTAAGGGCGAGAAATTTATGAGCTGAATTGAATTGAATTCGGTGCGAATATGCGATAGAGGATATAATTAATCGCTTGTTAAATAAACTCGTGCTCGGTTGAGTGTTGGATATTGCGAGTTGCTAAAAATTTAAATTTCTCGAAACATTCGGTTGCGTGCGTAATGGGGTTGATGCACCGAAAAAAATGTTAGCCATAATCGCAAGGGTCATAATGTTAATTACTCTCCATTCGGGGTAAGGAGGTGTATATTTGTGACGATATTTAATCGTGTACTATGTGGTACAGACTTCCAATCTCAAAATACAAAATACCCTCTGACGTAGTAAAATTTTTCTTCCTCCCCCAAGTAGGTACATTGTAATATACACCAAAATACATGTGTAATGTTGAAACAACGAAATATTTTGTTTTATCAAAATCGTGAAAATAATTCGACTGGTACACCTGCAAAGTTTATCCTTCCACAATAATTCCATGGATTATTTATCATCCTTATTATACATATCGACAAAAATAGACGACTCTCGACTTTCGACACGATTAATAACTCACGAATGTCATGTACACGAATAGTCTATCGCACGCGTTACAACTGCTTGGAAAACTCTATAAAACGAACGTTGATGTACTAACTTACTCCCCAATGCTAATACACTCTCCTAAGTGTGTCGTTACATTTTACGCGTGCACTTACGCACTATTGTTACACTCACAAAGCGCCAAAGAGACGATTAGAGGGTAAGAGGATTCCTGTTGTAGTGAAAAGATCACGATATTGTCTTCCGCGATCACGTAATAATCTATGTACTATTGGATGCTCCAATGAGTCACTTTTGCATGAGAGATGTTGTCCAACTCGATAACTGATAGAATAAAAACCATAGGTACACGGAATAAGGTAAACATGGGGAAATACTGTACCTATATCTTATAATAACACGTATCGTAACATTGATGTGTTTAGGCGGGCAAATATTTTGTGTGGGTGCGGAAAATAATTTTACCAGCTGTGAGTGGCTCTCGGGGTTTTTCCCAAGCTGATACACCATGAAAGGCACTTCTTGAACATTTTCGTAAGCTTCCGTATAGGTTTTGGACTTATGTGGTTGCTCTATATCATTGCTTTACCCAATTTATTGTGACCATGACGTGGATATAATATCCAAGTGATGTCATCATACCATCTAGTATATATTCATAACTGGTCTGGTATCGGACAGAAAAAAAAAAAAACGTGATTAGGTATCGCATTCATTAGTTGCCAGAATGTTTTGTCTTGAGCCGGCTCCCGTTGCGTCAAGATACACGCGCCCATTGAGGTGTCCTATTTTTGAATACATCATACGTAAGTGTCTCATTATTTAAAAAAAAATCATTTCCTTTTCTCATATTTACTTTATTAGCCATTCATATCTACTGGAGATATGTCAACGACGAAGCAGTTAGACAGTTAATCAACTCGGTGTTTAATTTTTCTAGACATTTTTATTTTAATTGGCACAAGTTATTTTTATATATGTATACCAGAGTATAATATATTGACAATAAAAAAAAAAAAAAAATACTCATTAAGCTCATGAAAGAAAAAAAAAAATTGGGAGATTACATTTATGTCATCCATCATTATACGCCTCCAAGTAACAGAAGTTACAATAATCCTAAAAAAATTTTCCCAGTGAAAATATACTTCTTGAGCAAAGTTAACAAAATGTAGCAAGAAAGCCCCCTTAATAAAGATGATTCCGCGCAAATGCGAAGCTCGCGCTTCCACTTTTTTCGCACCCCCCGTACCAAGTGCTCGTGAGCTTTCGGCCGAATTCGCTTACCGAAAGGACGTTTTAAATAAAGTGCAGCAGCAGCAGCCGGCCTTACTCAGCCATAAATACGATATATTCCTACAATATCAGAGCTCGAGCTCGTCCATTTTTCCGCGCGCACTTCACGAGCTTTACACACCTGCAGAGATATTGTACATACATATATATATATTCAGAGCACAGAGCGAACAAACGAACACTAGAAGATTCTCATGCACATGTATGGGGGCTGTTGGTGCTGCTGTTGCTTCGGGTGTAATATACAAGCATAAACTCGTACACCTATTTTCAAAATTGAAGTGGCAATATGCAAACTGATGTATTGCACCGTGCACGTATACGCTACAGTCTAGCAGATGCACTGC